CCGGTCTGTTGTCAATATCAGCAGGCTTCCCAGACTTTGGCTGATCTTCTGAATCTTTCAGCTCAAATGAAAAACTAGCCCTTTCATTCCCCAAAGATTTTTCTTTTGATGGGGCTCCTTGGGCTGAAGCACTTAAGCCTTTAGGCTTTTTTGCGCTACGGTCCCGCACTTTTTCCTCCTCATCATCTTGGTCGCCGCGACGACCCTTGGATGGCTTGAAGTGGTTACATCTCTGGGCTTCCTTTTAGCTGCCCTTTGTTTTCTCGGAGTGTCCCTCGTCCAAAACATATATCACCGTTTGATGGTACGTCGAGACAACTCCTTGAATGTCGCGAATGAGGGGTCTCCCCATGATCACGATATACAAAGAGGGGGCATCCACGACTAGGAATTCAGCCATGATGCTCCGCACTGCTCGGCCTTTGCCGATGGTGACAGGAAGAAAGATCTTCCCGTATGGATATGATGAAGAGCCATTGAATCCGAATACCGGGTAGGGTACCGGAGTTAGGTGCTTGGCCTCCATCTTCAGCTGGTCAAATGCTCCTCGAAAGAGGATATTTGCCCCGTTGCCGCCGTCGATGAGGATTCGCAAGACGTTGCGGTTTGCAATGCCCATTACTATCATCAATGGGTCATCATGGAGGTACACCACCCCTTCACAGTCTTTGGCTGTGAACAGAATGTTCAGCACCGGAGGCTGTGTGGCGCTCGGAGTTCAGCATGATTTACTTGGTGGGTTAGACCCCTCAAGTGGCGTTTTACTGCGCTTCGAGAAATTCCCCTGGAAATGACAAGAATTTCAAGGGTATCCTTGTCTTGCTGCTTGTCCTTTTTCCGGAGAAAATCAAGATCTTGCCGAGAGTCTCTCTTGGCGTTTTTCTCCTCGCGGCGATCCGCGAGGTATTACTCCAGTTAGCCTTTCCGAACCAGATCTTCGACCTGGTCCTTCAGCTGGAGGCATTCTTCGGTGTGATGTCCAGGAGACTCATGGAACTCGCACAATCGGTCCTTGCCCTTTTGCTGATGCCACGGTGGCAGCGGTCGAGGTTTCTTGAACCTCCCCTCGTTCCTTGTCGTGTTGTAGATTTTAGCACGAGGAAGAGTAAGGGGAGTGTATGAATCGTATCTCCCTGTATAGGGGACAAACTTTTCTTTCTTTGGCTCGGCAGCCGAGGACGGTTCTGAGGCCTTGGCCTTCCCTTTCCTCGGTGTCGAGCCTTCGGACAGTTGTCCTTTAGCTTTCCCAGCCCCTGATTGAGACTGAGACTTCGCCTTGTTCCATTCTTCGGCTCGGATAAATTTATCCGAGGCATCCAAAGCCTCCTCCAAGGTCTGCGGGGGATGCATGACCATGAAGTCCGGGAACTTTCGAACTTGCAAATCATTCCGTAGTGCAAATGCGGCAAGGCCTTGATCCAGACTTGTAATTCTAGATGACTCGTTGCTGAAGCGAGTCAGATAATCGCGGAGGCTTTCACCCTCGGCTTGCTGCAGACTCATCAGCTCTGCAGTTGTCTTTTCTCGGCGGTTAGCCGTAGAAAATTTGCTCTTAAACTTGTTGGAAAGGTCATTCCAACCAGAAATAAAGCCTTATTTTACCCCTTTGGAGATCCATGATTGTGCAACACCTTTGAGGGTTATTGGAAAATATTTACACCAGGTAGCCTCGAACCTGGGGTTGAGATACATGTGCCCCTCGTAAGAGGCAATGTGATCCTTTGGGTCCAAGGTGCCATCGTAAGTAATATGCACCGGTATTTTCACCGTCGGCACATGCTCTTCCAATATCCAACTTTGGAAGGGCGAGCTTGTAGGGACCATTACGGCATTCCCTTTTTGCTTGTTCGAAGGGACCTCGCTTCTCCCTCTTATAGAGGTGGAAGTGGTTTTCGTCCCAGGCCGAGACAATTCGGGGTATGTGATTAGTCTATTTTATATATAAATATATTCCCCGTCCCAATGGTCATAATTGTGTTTATTTGAGCTTTACGGAGCTACTTTTGTTACTAATATGCGTTTTCTAGTCTTTTCGTAGATTTGGTATTGTTTTATAGGAAATTGCAAATTTGGAGCATTTTCCTGGATTTATTGGAGCCACTACGAGCATTGGAGTAAGGTCGCATTTATATGACCACATTCCGAAGCCCATGACCGGTTGGAGTCATCAAATCGGTGATTAAGGGCCCGGCGAAGAAGAAGAGTTTGGGGCAATGGACCATGTATTCAGAACCCCAAGAGGAAATGTGAATTGGGCTAAGAAACGACCCAATTGAAGAAGTCCAAGCTTGCCCGGGAGCTCGCCCGGCAGGGTGAGACCTCGCCCGAAGGCACGCCCGGCAGGCAAGCCCTCGCCCGAAGGCGCGCCCGGCAGGGCGAGGAAGAAGGAAGTGAGTAGCTGCTCACCTGAAGGCGCGCCCGGAAGGGCAAGCCTTCGCCCGAAGTCGCGCCCGGCAAGGCGAGACCTCGCCCGACCGAGCATGTGTTTCTGAAGGAGTTTAAAGATATAATTTGTTTTATCTTTTTAGCCAAAGTATAAATACGATTTATTTTAGGAAGTTAAGGACGTTTTTCACTCTTTTTACTTAAATTACGGATTATTAATAGTTTAAGCTTTTGTTAATACTCTTACTTTCTCTCTCTACACTTTCTCTCTACACTCTTGAGTTTTATGCAATTCATTATTTCCATTAATTTTGGTAACGATTTCTTCCCTCTTTACTTTCAGTAATTTAATTGCTTTGATTTAATTATGTTTTGCTTTATTGCTTTGATTAGTGGAGATTTAATTATGTGTGAGTAGTTTCATTCTAGGGTTTGTGGGGATCGATAAATAATATGAAGGGGTAAATTATTATTGTTGGTTATTAATGCTTGATTGATTTCCTATTGATTGATTTAATGATATGCAATTAGATTTGGCCAGGTTTAATTGTATGAGTTATGCAATATTGATTCAAGATTCGAGAGATGAGAATTGATGTTTAGGCTTAGTTTCAATAGGCAGGTTAATTTTATAAATGGTTAAGTCAAGATTCGAGAGATGCGATTTAATACTGATAGATTAATTCTGTGATTATAATACGTAGCGAAAGCCCTTTATGATCTGATTAATTTATGCATTGATGATTGATCGTTGTGTTTTACCCTGGAGTATTATTTATTGGTGAACCTATACCCTAGGCATTTTATTATTGATTATTCCCTTGTTTAATTTGCTTAGTTTAATTGTTAGTTTAATTCCCACAATACAAATTGGTAACTTGATAATTTAGATTATAATAATTGATTAGGAATAAAAGAACATTGTTTCCTTGTGGATTTGACCCTACTTCTCTATCTACTTTAGCTAGAGGAATTAGGAATTACTTTTGATTAGGTGATACGACTAGAACCTGTCAGTATGACCCGGTCTTTTCTGGGAAGGTGAGGCGGTTGTGCACGTTCACCTCCCTTGAGCCTAAGAGTTCATGAACACTTCGGTGAGCAGACTCCTCCTTGTATGTGGAGGTAGTATTGCTGCTCCGAAAACTCAAATTGAGTCCCGAGTTTCGGAATGGTCGAAGAAGTGAGGGTTCTTCTTCCTTTCCTTACCGGAGTTCCATGTGTTCTCCTGCCATTTGTTCCCAAGCTCCTTGTAGGATGGAACTTGTCCATCCTTCTCTTGACCAATTCTCCTTCTCAGGTGTCTCGGCTGCAGAGATGAAGACTCAGGAGGTGATGGTTGGAGTTGACCCCCTTGAGCCTTAAGGAACTCCATACAAACCGCCACGGCCCTAGCCACTTCTTCCGTAGAGGGCCCCAACAGAGGGGTTTCTTTCGGCTGGGACCAAGAACGCAGGCTGCTGTTTGGTGGAGGACTCCTCGCATTGGACCCACTCGGCCTAGGTGAGACTATTGGCTGTCGAGTTTGGTGTGAGGATGAGTCTCTTGAAGCCTCCCTTTCCTGAGAATTGGGAGCTCTTGAGGAAGGAGAGGGATGGCTCCGGTGACGGTGAAATCGGATGATGTTCCCTCACCGTGATCATGTCCCTTTCCTTCCTCTTTCTAGCACTTTTGGTGCTTTCGCCACTCTTAGTCATGTTTTCGCTAGGAGTGATGGATTTTTGGCTTGATTTTTTGTATCTTCCCCACAGACGGCACCAAATTATTTCGGATAAAATAATGGGGCCTTCGGCGGGCCCTTTTAAGGTGGAGAAGACTGGTCTCGGTCCAAGGAATGCTGGAGCTGAGGATTTCCTGCACAACAAAGAACACGTAAAACTGGCCTCGGGGTTGTGCCGAGGAAAGCCCCTCCGATGCCGAAGTCAGTATGGTGTTTAAGAGAGAGAGAGAGAGGGGATGAGCTATGCAAGAGATTTAGTGCTTGAGGCTGATTGTGGATGAATGTGAAGTGAAGAGAGGGCTAGCTTTTATACATTTGCTTCATAGAGGGGCTTGGGCCCTTGGAGTCAAGTGGGCTTGCCACTTGGACTGAACCTTTGACTGACTTGACATTGGGCCAGAGAGTTGAACCTTGCTTTTGGGCTTTGGATTGTATCATTTGTGGACCAGGCCCAATTGAGGATAAATTGGACCCAAACAATGGGGTATGATGATAATTAGAAATATTAAAGGATCTCATAATGAAAAATCTAATGAAAACATAGGTATCAATGAGGCTTTATTGGTGCCGCTCATTAAAAGCAAATAGCACTGAATGGTAAATCCTAAAAATGTCAAATGTCTCATTACAAAAGATAATAACATTCGGCTCTTTCCAGATACCAAGAATAAATTTTCTTAAAGTGTTTGAGTATTTCTCAAGTACGAATATAGTGTTTGGATTAAATTTTGTTTTGAAAGCAGTGTTTCAATTAAATTTGAAAATGAGGTTGTATAATCCAACCATTTTTTGTTTAAATCACAAGTAAGAAGGTAGTATACTAATATACTAACCAAGAGACAAGACAAAATCAAACAATTTGTTTTCGAGGGAAGTGAACAAAGCCATAACCCCATAATCACATACATGCATGCTTTATTTCGATAAGCATTCTCAGGTATACATGCATGCTTTATTTCGATAAGCATTCTCAGGTAAAACAAGTACATTACAAATACGTATTACGTACATATAAATTTACTGAAACATTTCTTTCTTTATCTCTGCTACATTCAAATTTAAAATGTCAAGGATTGGTTCTAAATCACATGTATGGCTAACGAAATGTACATAAATTGCAGCTTAGTTACAACTTACAAGATAACATGGTCTAAATCAAGGCAGGTCGCAAAAGACTAGAGGATAAATTAGGGACTGCCTAAAGCTCTTAAAAAATACAAATTCTTGGACGATGAGCCGATGCCCTTTTGAGGAATCCTCATTGCTGTTTATGGTCATAATTCCATTGAGTTTAGGTTGTAATAGCTAAAGCTATGCTTTTGGAAAGCGGGAATGCTTCTTCTCGCCCCCCGACCTAAATTACCAGATCCGAAATGACCCAACCTACACTGTACTCGGAATTGGATGTCCCAATATTGACCCAAACCGAAATTGAACCAACCTGAGAAAACAAGACAATAATTGATTTAATTTCCATCATAAACCAGTCTATGGTACACCGAATATGACCACGCTAAGTGATCCGTTTTCCACCTCTATGGCTCTACCAAAAACAAATTATTCAAAAGGCAAAGAATTCACCTTTCCTGGCATTAGGGTGCCGGTATGCACTAATTGCTCCAACACAAGGCCAAGAATTTACCCTTATGGACTTGATGTAACATTAGATCTACTGGTGACAATCCGCTGTCTTCTGCTCTTAGCAGCTTGAATCTGGTCTGCAAGTGAAACTGTGCTACGCCTCTGTTCAGCTTTTATGGATTCAATATCGAATTTCTCCAGTGCTGACTGAAGATAAATCATTGATCCAGGCTGACTGCAGGAAGGTCCATCTGTTGATTTCTTTCCAAATATCTGTAAGATTGGAGAAACACACAATATAAAATTTTCCACTACGTAAACAAATAGTCAAATGTCTTAAGAACATAACTATATTCTCTATATCTTGTTAGTTAATTATTCCTCAGAGATTCCTCTTTTTACACATTTGTATTCTAAGATCTTTCCAAGGAATAATGGAAGGGTTGCATTCTAAGATCTAAAAGAAAAAGAAGCAACACTTTTGTTCCATAATAGTTTTGATGTACTCAAGCCTATACATGCATCATATCATACAAGTGACTACCCTTTTAGAAACTATGATAGATGGAAAAAACACAAATACAAATGACATAAATGTCCCAGCCTGTTGTTAATCCCAAATTTTACTTCTTTTTTTCCTAGTCTGAGAAAAAGAGAAGATGTTGATAATAAAAGATACTAATATATATACCTTCACTAATTATCCTCGCGTAGGCTGAGGAAATAGTAAAAACTTATATGAATATTAACAGCAGAAACAGTGTATAAATCACATTGGGAAGAACATCATGCATGGCCTTACAATGACTAGGTGAAAATACATCAGCTATTTAAAACTGACAATCTACAGTAACACAAAATGTAAACACAGCCATTTTACCTTTACTAATCTGTCTGTGGTGCTTAACTCCGTTGAAGCTCCTAGCTCTTCCTTCTTTTCTCTCCTTTTTCTACGGCTCATCGCTTTCTTTTTGGCCCTCAATTCATCTTTCTGTTTGAGCTCCAACTTCTTTTGTGCAACCCGAGTTATGTTTTGCACTCTTTTCTGTACCTTCTTCTCTGCTCGAATCCTTTTCATGTCCTTTACCTTGGCCTTTTCCTCAACCCATTGAAGTCGTCGAAGGGCTATTTCAACTTTCAGCCTCTCATAACTATCCCAATTGAGTAGTTCTTCACCAACTCCTCCCCGTCTAGCAGCCTCTGCAATGCTTTCAGCCCATGAGGTATAAAACTTTTCTTTTGCACGTTTTCTTTTCAAACGCTCCGCCCACAGTTTTTTGAGAGAAGAACCAATTTTCCTCTTGGACTGTTCACTGCAAGAAAGAAATACCCTTCTGAGTGAGAAATTGGTCATGCTCTAAAAAATAAGTATGCTGGCAACAAAAGTTGAGGCTCTACAAAATCTGTACAACATGAAAAAAAAAAAAAAAAAAACAAACAAACAAAATTGTATAAGCTTTCAACTTCTAACTTCCATACGAGGGCTGATAGCTACAGAAAAGGCTAACAGCATAATCCAAATTCTAGTTCTTAATAATAAAAGGACTTTATCAATACAGAATACAACCTTTACACCAAAGACAACTAGTTTTCCACTAATAATGGATAAAGTAAAAGACTACAACTACATTGTATAACAGATAAAGTAATCTTGAAAAGGTCTATGAAGCATGTGAATGAGGCATAGTAACACAGAGAAACTCAAGAAGAAGCACGATGCATGCAAGACATCTATGCTAGCGGGTGGTTACCTTAACTGCCCGCTTACCCCACTACTTACCTTCCTAAATTTCAGGCGCACTTGCCACGTCATGCCACTAATGGATTGGTTGCTGCCAAGTGGTTACCACCCTGCAGTAACAGCCATCCACGATCCCACTCCTAAGGTCATGGAATCATCGGGTAGTTACATCACTAGTAACCGTCACTCATGATCCCCCGCTAAGGAGGCATCCAAAGTAACCTCCTGATCGGCCAACCAACGTGGCCAATCAAGCTAACCGTCAGTAGTTATCATGCAAGGTAACCACCCCCATGATCCCCACTACTCGTGGTGATCATGGTAACCGCCAACCACTTGCCCATGTTAGCTTCCGCATCCCAGTCTTTTCAGACCTACTATGTTTAACCGCGATCCTTCACACTCGGGACCCAAGCCATGCCTCTTGAGCCATAGCCCCATAGGCATCCCTACGCTCAAGTCTATGCCCATTTCTAAGTTCGATAAGAGGGCTGAGTTATCTACAGAAAAGGCATTCAGCATAATCCAGATTCTTCTTCTTAATAACAAAAGGATTTAATAAATACAGAATACAACCTTTACACCAAAGACAACGGGTTTTCCACTAAAATGGATAAAGTAAAGACTATACCAACTACATTGTATAATAGATAAAGTAATCTTGAAAAGGTCTATGAAGCATGTAAATGAGGCATAGTCACACAGAGAAACTCAAGAAGAAGCTCTAATTCAGAAAGTGCCATCATACGTTTCCCACCACAGCACTACTACACGTAGATTAATAATAGGAATATGTGCAACTAAAAGACCCTTCTTGTGTATCTTCCTATCTTGCATAAAGTTCTTTTTGGAAGGCTCAAAAACACGTTGTCTCTTGAAGTTAGACATAGATCTAAAAGTGCCCTTAAGCCCTTCTTTTCATTGTAAATGATAGCCTACACCGCAGCAAAATTTCTCTAGACTCTTGATCAACTTGAAAAATTCAATGATGAAGCTACGCAGCTAGTTAAGGAAAATTAATTAAAGCCCTGGCTAAGCTATTGCTGCATGAATTGATATTCCCCAAAAGTCAACAAGAGTATCTTCCACGTCATAGCTTCAATGGAAAAATCATTGACAGCTAATTCAAGGATCACAGAAAAACAAGGCTGATCGACACTAATCAAATCTAATTTGAAATTAATGCAATCAAACAATGCAATTTTTCAAACTCTCCAACACTACACGTTGAGAACTAAAAAAGATACATGCTTCTGGAAATAGATAAAGTCGATAGTCACACAAAAATCCTAATGGTTGGCTGGTTGCATGAGTTTACATAAACAAGAACTAAATAGCTTTAATATATTGGACTGAGAAAACACAGAAAGTAAATAAAGCTTTACTTTGCCAAGAAATTCTCTTGCATTTGGCTAAAGATTGTAGTTTACTAGGAAAATGGAATCTGGTGCTTCTTAGGCCTAAAAGTTGACAAATAATATGCAGAAGGCTATGATGCTGAGTTCTAATTCTTGGTAAAAATGCTGACTCTTAACATAGACATCATCCCTCAAGAAAAGAGGATTTACATTTAATCGAAAGTACAACTATTATTTCCATTTTTTTAAAAAGGAATAACAAAAAGAAAAACCATCAAATGTTACTTTTGAATGAGTTTTGACATTAGCTGCATCAGAGTCATTATTTAAAAAAAAAAAAAAAAAAAGACTTCCCAGTATGTAGTAAAAGATAAAACAAAATAGAAAAAGAAAAGTAGAATTAAAGCATAGAGTAGTTCCAAGCCTTAAAAATCCAGGCTTCTAACCATACCACAGGAAAGGAATGAAAAAAAAAATCCTTACCAATGACAATTGTATCATAAGAGGAAAAGGAAAGGGTTTCAAATGGTCAATTACTTCATTCATAAGCTCATAGCAGTGTAGCACCTCTCTAGATATCATCCCTTATCACTTTCACACATATATGCACAACATTAAACTGCCTGCCCTTCAATATTCCCTCTATCAAGCTAATGGTAGACTGATACAAAGTACCTTAGCCTATATATGTTTTTTTTGCGCGAATATAGTGCAACTTTGCTACGAAAATGAATCGTGGTGGTTGCAGACTTTCAAAAGGCAGAGGTGAAGGATTTACAGTTCAAGAGACACAACCAAAAAAAAGAAATCTTATCATAGAGAGACTCATTTACTTTTCAGTACAACAATATAAAGAAACTTCTCAGCCATTAATTACATAAGAGCCTGACTTGATACCATATCTGATGATGATAGAGAAATGACTTTGAAAATCCCAAACACTCTTTCATTCTTGTCAAATAATTGTTTAAAGACATGAAGAGGAAGGACTACCTGTGCAAGCGTGGAGCTTCGGACATCTTCTTTCTTATCTGAAAGCGTGAATTAAAATAAAAGCACAAGTTACAATATATATGAAAGATGAGCAAAGAGCTAAGGATTAGCAAGCAAAATAAAATCAATATCCTTTAAAGTTAATACTAGGGAACTGAAGAGATGTTTCATGCAGAGTATCACATACAGGTTCTGATAGTGATATTCCAAGCCTTAACCAGCTAAACCACATAGAACATAAATAGAATTGGACAGCAGAGTGGTAAAAAGAAATTGAATGTTTCTTACTTCACTTCACCTTGGGGTCTCTTAAGGCTTCAAGGGTTCTTTCCTTAATCCGTGCACAAGTCTCTGCACCAATTTCACAAATATTAGCAAGGAACACAAGTCATGGAGGTCAACTCCAGATGGTATGCAACATTTACCAGGGCTATGCTTCCTGCCTTTGTTCCAGGGAACTTTTCCTTTGTTTGCTAAGCCTATTCTCTGCCTCCGGAGAGTTTCTGCGCTACAAGTCTCTGCGCGTTCAGAATTAGGGCCAGCAATTCCTCCAACTTCACCCCAAACCTCATTGCCATGTGAACTTGGATAATTATCCGGTTCAGAATGCAGATCAGAGGACTTACATACCGCAGCAGCAACTGCTCCTACAGGTTGTAGTCTGCTGACTGTGCTTGAGATGGCTAAGGGCATAAATGAACACCTTAGAGGAAGGTGAAAGAACTTCCCTGTAATCGATTGATGATTAAAATACTCCATTGCAGTATGAAGAGATGCAGGCCCGTCCCTGAGGAAGGGCAGGAGGGGCGGCAGCCCTGGGCCCAGGGAAAAGAGCTCTGATTTCATAGTTGAATCCTAACATTAGCAACCAAATTTGATTCAATTATCTCATAATTTTAGGGATATTTGATTCAATTATCTCATAATTTTAGTGATATTTGATATGATAGATAACAAATACAAACAACTTACCTCAGAAGCTGCTTCAATGGGGGATACGATTCAATGCGCTTCAATAGAGCAATTCAATGGGTTGGACGCCTTGTATCCCTATTAAAAGCCATGCCCATGACCCGTCACACTTATTAATGGGTTAGATCCGTCTAATAAATAAATGGGCTGAGTCTTTATACGATTGTCTAATTATGAGACAGGGCATACCTTATAAGGGTTTAGAGTAAACTTGTTTTAAAAAGTACGGATTATTAGTTTATCTTTACACTTCCATTTCTCAAATGCTATTTTCACACACCAAACCTTGTATAATTTGTTTGTAAGTTTTTTTTTTTTTTAAAACGGCTGAAATTACATTAATTAAAATGAGTTTACAACAAACGAAAGGAAAGTATGGTAACATAAGTCAATTACAAGTTATCATGTCTTAAATGTGGTTAGGATGAGTTTTCCTCAAAAAAATTGTGGTTAGGATGACTCTTTTATCGTGGTCATTATGACAAATTAATTGTGTTATGTGAAGTGTGAACTATGCAATTGTATAGGTAGTGTTACCTTTGCGGATTTAACATCGGCTAAAGGTCACCTACATTTTATTATAAATGCAGTTGAAGACCAGCAAGTGTAGAATTGTATGAGTTAGTTAATTGTATGAGTTGGTTAGTGATCTGTGTAAAACAGAAAACTATTAGTGAATAAATTTGAAAGTGACAACTTTAATACCTTTGTTTTTTTGAAGAAAAAAAAACCCATCTAGATCAACCGAAGAAATTTCCAAAATGCGAGGAGGGATTACATCACTCCACCCATTGGCCAAACTCCCATGGTTGAAAGTAAGTCAATTTGTATGCTACATTATTACCCCTCTCGCTTTACAAAAGACCATGAATCACTAGTAAAATTAGAAGAAGAAAAAACATCTAGAATATCCTTTATAATCAAATGAAAGGAACTGGAGCCATACAAACGCTTCCTCATTGCCTCAATCACCACCAGATTATCATTCTCGATCTCAATGCAGCTCATACCCTGGTGTCTCGCAATCTTCATGCCCCCAAAATACTGCTTTCACCTCTGCAATCTTAGTCTCTCATTTTTCACTCCACTACACTGTAGCTCCCCAAAGCATCACCCCCTCACTATACTGCAGACTGCACCCAGCCCCGTCCCCACCTCCCCCAAAACACCAACATCAACAATTACTTAACCACACCAGATGCCGAAGGAGACCCGCCCACAGAAACCCCCTTTCGACCCCTCCATTCCCCATGTTATTCAACTTTCGCAACCCATGCCCCTTCGTATTAATCTTCAAAGCATAAGCAACAATTTGCTCAATATTCGGATTTTCACCCTCAATCATCCATTTGTTCCTTGCGCCCCACATAGCCCAACACATGTTAATTAAACTCACCAGATCCTCTCCAAAATTACCAAAACAGTGCTCCCACTAATCACCCATACTACAAAGATAGTGAGACAAAACCATAGAATAATTGCACTTACTCCAAATTGCTCGGGCTAAACTGCAATCTTTTAACGCATGCATGACAACAAATTCTTCTTCTCTCTGGCAAACACCACAAGCTAGTATCCAGGGCACAAACTAGCTACAAAAAAACTAGCTTTAAAATCTCACGTGGCCTAAAAAGCTAATTTGTTAATTAGCTTACCATTGGAGTTGCTCTAATACTCCATTTGTTCCTTTTATTAGATAACATTTTGACTTTACACCCTAGTGTCCTAACCAGTCCAGCGAACACCTACCCAAACCCTAACTCTAACTCTCGAACCCCACTTATTTGGCGAACTCCCACCCAAACCTCAGCCTTTACTCTCAAACCACACTTATGCGGCGAACTTCCACCTAGCCCCAACCTAGCCGATCGATCGAACCCACCCAACTCCCACCCACCCTAGTCGGCACGAACCTATGACCACCCAGCCCTCCACTCTGAACCCAACACCCCAATCTTTTTATAAAATTATTTATTATAATTAAAATTAATTTTTTGTATTTAAAATTAATATTAAGCTACATTTTGTTTTTAATTAAGTCAATTCTTATTTAATTGAGAGTTAATTATAGTAAAAGTCAATTGATGACTTGTTTGACCGGTCACAAGTCAAATCTAGTACTTAAATTATTTATGGAATATAGACATCAATGTTAGACTTATTTTTTTAATTTATTAAAGTTGACTTAATATTGGAAAACCACCTAAAGTTCGACTTATTGTGGTTATTTTTTTCATTATTTTATTATATTAGACTTTTCTTTTTACTAATCATCTGTATATAAATTTCTATTTTACACAAATATTTTCCATACGAGAATGACAAAAAAGGCAAAAAAAGAATGGTGCATTATCACACCAAGAATCAACACGAATTTTTTTAGTGTCATTAAGTATATAGTTATTGAAATATATACTGATGGATTATTGATTGGTTATTATTTATTAATGATTACTAGTTATTTATTTAAGTAAATATTAAAATATGATATTTAATTATATTTTTTTCTAACGGATAAATTACAAAAGAAGGTCAAAAGAGAAGTGTGAACGAATATGTCCAAATGGTGCAATTAAAGAAAGGGAGAAAGTATTTAACAAATTATATAAAATTATTTACGAATTAACAAATTACATAACTATTTAACAATTATATAAATAAACGATTTTTTTTAATATCATTTGCCCTGGGCCTCCAAAATGTCAAAAACGACTCTGAAGAGATGACACAGTCCATACTACGAAGTGGTTGTTTTAAAAGTGCCCTGGTGACAGTAAAAAAAAAGGTAGTTAAGGGCATTTTGTTACACTTTTCACACCAACATTTTAGTTTAGAATGGTTATCAATGCGAGGGAAATGTGCTTGCTTCTACCATATAAAAACTTCGTACCCATTACATTTAAGCTCGTTTGAAAATTTTTTGATAATAAATGGTGCAATTTATATTATATACTTGTACTAAAGTGAAATTCCCCTATTTGCTTACTTAGAACAAGTAAGGGTCCAGATCATTCCATTGGGAAAAAGCAGGAGTCATCCATATATAGATGAATAGTACCAGTGGCGTCTAGGAGGAAGACGGGGAGTGACTGGGGTGGGGAAGAAGAGTTGTCACAATAGAAAGAATCTTGGCAAAACAAATGAGTATAAGAAACCAACGATTCTCTGTTCTTAAACAACCCATATTTTCCACACTTAATCAGCATTTTATAAATTATCCAACCCCGAGCAATATTAGTTATTGGTGGGGATTCGGTTCGTTAGCTGGGATTTGTTTAGTCATTCAGATAGTGACTGGCGTTTTTTTAGCTATGCATTATGTTTAGGGTAAAAATTACCCATGACAAATGGACCAATCCGGACCTGCCACGTGTCCACCACGTGGGCCAATCAGCGTCCGCCACTTGTCACCCTAAGAGGTCCAACATGGACTAATCAGGCCACGCCACGTGGCCTCCCATATGCCAAATTGGCAAAATGGCCACCAAGGCCCAAAGTCCGAGAGAAGCCCAATTTGCGCTGGTTAACTTAAACATAGGATTGGCACGCTTCTCAAGACTATAAATACTTAATTAATCCTCATTAAAGGGGATTCAGCAATTGATTACTCTCACCTAGAGAAGTCTAAACACATTGATCACTCCTCCCCTAGAGGAACCAAATCTCCCACCTTTACTTTCCGCATTTATTACTCCTCAAACAAGTACTAACTTGACCGTTGGAGGCGGAGCTCCCACCACAAGGAGTCTCCGTTGTTTTGCAGGTACAAGCGCAAGGATACCAGTCCCGGAATTGTAACTCTCCCGCAGGACATCAGAAAACCCCGAAACATTTTGGCGCCGTCTGTGGGAGAGTACTTTCGAGATGGTATCACAGTCTGTACCGGTTCTAAGTGAGAAGCGTTCCATGGACGACCCCCTGGTCTAGTCAGACTAGGATACCGACGAAGAATATGAAGTTGAGACTCACACGGCCCCTGACGGGTCCCTCAGAGCTCGACGCACCCGTCCCATCGAAAGGAGGGAACGGGGAGACTTCCTGGCTAAATCTAGTAAACCAGCCGGCCCGCCGCCTGATCATCAACAGGCGGCGAGGGATCTGCCCCTATAACCAGGAATGAACTCATGGCCCTCATGAGTAGTTTCAAAGGAGATATCCAAGACTTGATCAATAGAAGGGTGCCTGTCCCTGCAAAGGAAAAGTCGGCCAGAAGACCCTCCCAATCTGGGAGGAAGAAACCTGCAAAGGATCGTGAGGCGACCCCTTACCCAAAATCAAGGGCAAGGCACTCACCAGCGATCGACCTAACAAAGTACTGCTTTCCTTCTCCAGGGAAGAGGAAACCCATCCGTCTTGTTCATCCGGCCAGGTGTAACCACCCCCAATTGAAGTTAGATGCGCCTAGCATCACTCAATGAGTACAGCCGGCAAGATAGCAGCCTCTAAGCATTCGGCCCGGCAGCCAAGTACTACAAGCGTCATACGGCCGAATGCCAAGAGTCGTATGGATAGGTTTGTAAGCTATTGTTATCAAGTCATTATTACTCATTTTTATTAATCATTATTATGATTGTAAAAAAAAAAAAAGAAAAAAAAAAAGAAAAAAGAGGGAGCCGCCTAACTTACTAATTCTATGGAAAAACTCCACTTAAAGCCTTAGGTGGCAATCCACTACACAATTAAAAGCCTCTCATTTTGTACATTAAAGAGAGGTGTCAAAGAAGTGAAGCCCTTGGGATTTGACGCCTGTTTGCATAGCTTATCAAGGCCACAATCAAGTTAATTTTTTATTTATGAGGCGGCATTTAGCCTAGCCCCTCATGATTGTAACAAACAGCGGGCAGCTTCACAAATGGAAAATCGCCGGCATGCTCCACATGTAAAGATCAAGCTAAGTGATTCTTGGGAGTATTCAGGGAGTCGGCCCTCCATGAGTGTTCAACCAGTGTAATGTGTCTAGCAAGCCACTAATAGAGCTCTCGGCAACGAATGGACAAGCATAATAGGCAACCGTATATCAAGGAAACCCGGTAGTACTGCTTGAGTGGTTGACCAGCTGCGCTAATAGGAGCAGCACATATAGGTGTT